AGGAAACAAACTTATTGATCTAGAGAATTTTAAAAACACGGGCAATTCGAAAATTGCAGAAAACAAATTTGAAAATGAATGGAGCAAGATTGAAACTCGGAGCAGAAATCAGAACAAACGAAGCGAAAATAACCAAGAAAGCAAGAATAACCAAGAAATCAAAATACAAGCAACCAATATTCAAGAAGAAAAATTCGACCAACAACGAAAACATTTATTTTTACCACGAGAAGGAGAATATTCTGGCGTATTATTGGGAGACTCAATTGATAACAGAATCAATGGGGAACAAATATCGGAAAATGTGTTGGCGAGAGAATTTGGTGGGCACAAAATTTCTCCATTGCTGGAACGCGTGAGAAACAGTAAATCGCGACATTTTAAACATGTAACTACGCTAATTGGAATAAATGACTGCCTCTCAAATAATTTCGACGCGAAGGAAGCCGTGAGTAGCTTAAAAAAACTAATTTATCTCGTAAATCATAAATTCTCCCCAGAAACAATTTCACTATGTACTGTAACTCCCTTAGGCGCTTTTAGAAAAAATTTTAATCCAAATATACAGAAGCTAAACAAGCAAATTCCTAATTTAGTACGGAATGTAAAGGACTTGGGCGAAGTAAAATTGGATATTTTAGACATAAACAAAAATTTTAGTCAAAATACCGATGCGCTTAGCTCGGATGGTTTGCATCCTTCTGATGGGGGTGTTGAATATTTGGTGCAAAATTTTAGAGATTCTTTTAGAGGTTCTGATATTAATGCAAACACATGTGAGATTACAACCCGCCCCAGAATGAAGCAAACCCAACAATCATCAAATTTAGATCTAAAAACGGCAGAAATGATACAATTTTTCCAAAACGGTGCAAAATTCTTTAGGAAATACTAGTTTCGCATTTTTTCTTGGTGCAAACTTTGGCGATTATTTACTTTATTTAATTATTTATGCTGAATATTAAATTCTGGTTGTTTTGTGCAATTTTTCTAATTTCCAAGGCTCAGATGGAAAATATAGAAAAACCATTGTTTACTGGGGCTATCTAAGCTGCCATCAAAAGATATTATCATCGAAATGTGGGATAAATGACCGGAGAGCTACCACACTGACTCATCTTTTCCTTTTTGCGTTGTTACTGACCCAAAGTGGGGATGTTGAAAAAAACCCTGGTCCTATTGAAACCATTGAAACAGTCTACGGCATCTGCTCAAAAAATTGTGCAAATCTTAAATTTGTTCATTTGAATTTTCAAAGTATTATTAGAAAACGGATGCAATTGAAAAAATTACTTGATGATATGGGCGAAAATACAATTATAGGAATTTCCGAAACGTGGCTTAAAAAAGAAGATAGTGACACTTTATGGAATCTCCACCCTAGAACGCATGCGATGTTCAGATATGATAGGCAATCAGCGGTAAAAAAGAAAGGCGGTGGCGCTTTGTTATATATACCAGTCAAATTGGCTCCGAAATTGAGGCCTGATTTAAATTTATTTGATAAAGAAAAATATGAGTCAGTGTGGGTTGAAAGCAAATCTACATTTAACATTTCCAGAAAAGAAAAATGTTAGTTAATTTGTGTTATAATCCAAGCAGATCAAACTTTATTGATTTTTTGGAACAATTAACGGTTAACATAGATAATGCATTTTCAGTTTCTAATAAAATTTCGCTTCTGGGTGGTTATAACATAAATTATCTGGATAGCAAAATAAAAGAAAATTTAGATTCTATAATTATTCCATATGGATTGAAGGTTTTTTGTCCAAACGATGAGACCATAATTAGTTCCTCAACTAAAACTCATATCGACTACATTATCAGTGACTATGAAACAAACGGCATTGAATTTTGTTTTGATACACCTTATAAAACCGACCATTTTGCTTCATTTATTTTGACGGATATAAAATGCGGCAAAAGTTTACCGAGGATAATTTCGACTTTCAATAAGAAAAGTTATCAAAAAAATGAATTTTGCAATACACTCTCCGCTCTTCCTTGGTATCTTTTATATCAATGTACAGATGCACAAAACATGTTCTCGACAATGATTTATTTATCTTCTAGTGCTCTTCAGCAACATGCTCCTATCGAAAAAAAATTTGTTCGTAATTTTAAACCAAAAAATGTGTTGGAAACGGAGTGGTTCGATTCAGAATGTCAAAAATTGTTGATTAAGAAACAGAATTCACCCAGATCATATCGCAGTCAACGCACAAGCGATAATTGGTCAAAGTACCAGTTTTTACGTTATCAAATGAGCCAATTGATTAGAAGTAAACAACTCGATCATTCAAAAAATTGTTTTTCACTTCTCAGCACTATCCAACAAAAATGGAAATATATTAACCAAGTGAGAGGTACATGTTCTGGCAACAATCGAATTACAGTTCTACGAAATTCCTTCAGTGAAATGATAACCCAAGACAAAAAAATTGCCAATCATTTATTTTATATTTTTTGAAACTTAGGCGAATTTTTCGGCGCTAAAAAGCCTCCGAATTACAACAAATCTGCCTCTGAATCTGCACCTTTCCATTTTCAACACATTACAGTGAAGCAGTGCTTTGATATAGTTCAAAAAATCAATGTTAGAATACCCCTCGGACCTTGTACCGTATCTGCTTGGGCAATCATTGACGGTCAATCAGTTATAGTTCCACATTTAACTTTTGTCATAAATACTTGCTTAGATGAGAACATTTTCTCGATCGAACTGAAAAAAGCACACGTAACCCCTTTGTTTAAAAAAGATGACCCAATGGATGCAAAAAAATTATCGGTCAATATCAATAACTTGTGCTTTTTCTAAAATTTTTGAAAAAATTTTACATGCCCAATTAACAGAACATCTTGACAAATTTCAAATACTGACACCATTTCAATTCGGATTTCGCAAAAACACTTCAACACAAGATGCTCTTGTTTATGTGACAGAAAGTATTCGAAATCAAATAGATTCAAAAAAAAATCGTATATGCAGCTTTATTAGATCTGTCCAAGGCTTTTGATTCTATTTCGCATGAAGTGTTAATTGAAAAAATGCTTTCTGTCGGTTTTTCAAATGGAGCAAATGCTTTAATTCCTAGCTTCCTAAGCAAAAGTATTCAAAGAGTAAACGTCAATGGAATCTTTTCAGACTGGATTGAAATAAAACGAGGTGTCCCACAAGGAACGGTACTTGGTCCGTTGTTGTTCAATTTATATGTTAATGACATACAAGAGATTATATGAAGGTTGTACTTTAGTTCATTATGCTGACGACTGTATGGTTTTTTCCTCTTCTACAATTTCTGAGGATGTTTTGAATCGATTACAAAAATCACTCAATAATCTAACGGAATTTTTTGCAGAGAGCCAATTGAATCTGAATGCATCTAAATCGGAATTTATAACATTTCGTCAAAAACTGATAGCAAAAATGTAGATACTGATACAATAGTAATTAATGGGCATTATGTAGCCAAAAATCAGAATGAAAATATTTAGGCCTTATTCTTGATTCAAGTTTATTTTTTCATGCTCAAACCAAAACATTTCTCCAAAAAATGGCACAAGGAATTAAAACTATAGATACAATTGGTCAACAACTGCCGACAATATCATTAGTTGCCTTGCTTCATTGTCTTGTTTTATCACATTTATATTATTCAGCAATATTTTTAAAACAAATTAAAGCTACTTTGATGCTATCTCTAGAGAAACAGTTGAACTGGGCGTTCAAAAGAACATACTTCAGATCGAAATTTAAATCTTTTCCCTTCTTCGCATTAGCAAATCGTTCATTGGAATCGAGAAAAGAATTGAGTTAAAGTGTGTAACATACTTATACCAATATCTTACAAACAAAAAGAAGGCTTTCAAAATACATTGAGACTACCGACTGCCAATTATAGGCTCAACAAAAGAACGAAACAAATTATTATTTGACAAAAATTGTTCAACCGCTTCTTTACAAAAATCATTTTTTCATTTGACTTCTAAAAAATGGAATTCACTGCCCATAATTTTGCGCAATTTAGAAAAATCGACAACAGGATTCAAGAAAAAATTGAAAGAATTTTACGTAAGAATTGAGAAACAATCCAATATGTACAAATACAAATACGTGGCGTGATTTCCGTTTTTGCTAGTTCTATATGTTTTAAGAATGCGTTAAAATTGTAAATTCAAACAAACGTTTTCGCACATTTTGTGCATCTTCAGGTTTTAAAAATTCTAAACTATCTGTACAAAATCATCAAAGATCATCAAAAGTGTCACACACACATCAGTACTTCAAAATTTTAAAAATTCAACCAATCAAAATTTTACAAATATCACTGAAATTATGTAACAACTATTATGTAACATTTTAAAACATTTTGTCACAAATTTCTGAGAGTTTTCTTCATTTTTATTTTTACATTTTTGTTTTGTGGCTAATTTTTATGCTAACATGTAAGTTGTTTCAAAATTTTGTTGTTTTAGCTAGAATTTTTCGATTCTGGAACTATAGCCTTTGTGTCAGCTCCCTACTTCTAAACTCGTCGCGCGTGTTAATTGCCGGTCTCTCTTTCTTAATGTGCAGCGCCTCTATTGTAAGTAACTTGATGCTGCTGGACGCCTGATCGATTATTTGCCAATTAAACTCAGACTTACCACGCTCACTACCACACTGCCTTATATGCTGTCCAACTGGGGTATCCTCTTTTCGGTGTTCCTCAATCCTTGTGGTGAGATGTCGGACCGTCTGGACAACATAGATGGATTTGCACCCACAACATTCAAGTCTGTACATCACTTTTGATTTCAGTTCACTGGAAAATGAGGATTTTAGAGAGGGCATACAAGTTTTCAATTTCCTCAAGTGTTCAAGTCAAACTATATGTTTTAATTTAGTTTAATTTTCCAGACATTGTTTGAAAGAGAATCTGTATATACTCTGTATATACGCTGTATAATTGGACTATCTAAAATTGTTTGTAAAGTTTTAATACCAGCTCGTTTAGCCTAATTGTTGTGATAAACTTATTAAATAGATTTGTTATGTTTGATGTTTGTGCCTGTATGTGGAGCGCCCTCTTAGGGATTTTAGAGACAGGTCTGTCAAGTGGCTTTCTGTGGGGAGGTGGGGAACTGGAACTGGCTTGAGAAGTCTGGTGGTGCGCCGCTGAACCTACTGAGCTCGGGTGAGATTGTTCCTTGTTTTTGATTTTTAACCTTTATGCTGCCTTTTAACCTTTTAAATTAATTTAGTTGTCTTTTTTTTTTATTTGCTGATTTGTAAAATTCCCACTAACCGCTTATCATGGGTTAGTTCAGTCCCCTAAAACCAGTCAAAATCCTTTTTTTTTACCTTTATGCTGCGTCAAGATGAGGAAAAACAACAAAGAGTGTACAAGCAAAGATTGCTTAAAACCTTCAGGACTGATAAATTGGATTAAATGTGATTGTTGTTCTAGTTGGTATCATATCAGGTGTGTAAATATTTCTCTTAGCGACTCTAAGAAAACCCAATGGTTTCAGTGTCCTTTATGCGTTGATGTAAAATCTGTTAATAAAGCAACAATAGGTAATGATTTAGTGCTAGACAATTATGTTAATACAGCCATCTCAAATGTCCGAGTACTCAAGAGAGTACCAAAAGACTCGCGTGTTCCCTTGGCGGAAAATCTGTCGGACAAAATAAACGACATTGTCTACAATGTAGAAGATGTTACAAAATGGCTAATTTTTTTAACGTCGTTCTTGTTTTTTTTGGAGCAACCGAAAAGAAGTGGACGCAAACAGACCACAAGCATGAGCTCTTTGATAAATAAAAAAATTCGAGCAAATGACGTGTCACTTCCAAAACCCCATCCCCAAGTTTCAAGCCCGCCTCTGAGTGACCTCGAGCAGAGAATAAAGTTAATAAGTAGTAAGCTCGATGAAGGAAATGTAAAGGGAGGAATAAGGCTTGCTGCTTCGGATGACAAAATAACTCCTTTTTCAACTGATAACTATCAAAAATTGTTATCTAAGCACCCGCAGCGAGCCAAATTTGCAGCTCCAAATCCAGAAAAGTTGGATAGTTTTTTCGTAACCGATTTCGACCTATACAAAGCGATAATGTCCTTTCCAAACGGATCAGCAGCAGGTCCTGATAAAATATTTCCTCAAATTTTTAAAGATCTTGTTAGTAAGTCGAATGGCAGTGCAGGACTTAACTTTCTGAAATCGCTTACTAAGCTGATAAACCTCATTGGAGATGGCAAAATACCGGAACCACTAAGACCTTTCTTTTTTGGCGCAAAGCTTATCGCCCTCATAAAAATAGACGGAGGGTTGAGACCGATTGCCATAGGCAACACGCTGAGACGTATCGCGTCTAAATGCGCTGGAAGCAAGGCCCTCTCCGAGCGACAAAATTTTTTCGGAAACGTACAGGTAGGATGCGGTACCAAACGAGGAGCAGAAATAGCTGCGCACTCGTTTCGAAACCTAATTGAACGCGACGACAATCCAAAATGTACTGTTCTTTTAAAACTAGATTTTAAGAATGCCTTTAACTCTTTAAACAGAGAAACAATGCTGAATCATGTTTTTTCAAATCGCCCCGAATTATATAATTACACCCATTGCGCGTATGCTAAACCTAGTTACCTTTTTTACGGAAGCTCTGTCATAATGTCAGAAGACGGAACTCAGCAAGGTGATCCTGAAGCCCCACCCCTTTTGCGGAAACAATTCATACACTAGTCAAACAGTTGGAGTCGAAAATTAACATCTGGTATTTAGATGATGGGAATTTAGCCGACGACTATAAGGTAGTACTCCGGGACCTTAAAAACATTCTGAAATCGGAACAAATTTACGGCCTGAGCTTAAACACTGAGAAGTGTGAACTTTGTTTTTTGGGACCGACTACTAGTACACAGTATAATTCAATTTTAACACAATTTTGAAAAATATGCCCCAAAATAAAAATAAAAACAAAAGAAGAACTCCTCATTTTAGGATCTCCAATCGGCGAACTTTGCCGAAAAGAATTACTCGACGAAAAAATTAGGGAGCTTGAAAAAATCTCGGATGTCATTGACAAACTAGACGCCCATTATGGTTTTTACCTCCTGAAAAATTGCTTTAGCATGCCAAAACTCCTATATTTTTTGCGTACGAGCCCTTGTTTTTTGCAAAATGATTTTTTGGAACGCTACGATAAATTACTAAGAAATTCGTTATGCAAGGTCACTAACGTGAAAATGGATGATAACCAGTTTTTACAAGCAGTTCTCCCGGCAGCCAAAGGTGGCTTGGGCGTTTCTTCCGCTCGTCTACTCGCTTTACCCGCTTTCTTAGCCTCAGCAGTAGGAGCAAAAGATGCCTTGAGCGAAATCTTTGGTTTGGAGCATGTGGATGGAACCTATGATGATGCGCTTAAACGGTGGTTTGACCTTGGAAAAATTGAAATGGCTCCGGAAAATGAAATCCAAAAAAAATGGACGGAGCCAATTTTTGACAGCGAAATTGCAGACTTGATTTTACGACTCGAACCAACGGACGTGAAAAGGTTCAACGCGTTCCAAGATAGATTTGGATCCCAATGGTTGAACGTCATCCCCTGCAAAAATTTAAGGTTAAAACTGTCGAACCAACAACTCAGAATTGCGATAGGACTTCGATTAGGATCAAAAATATGCGAACGGCATAAATGCGTGTGCGGAAAAGACGTTACCGAGGATGGTTGGCATGGTCTTTCTTGCCTCAAAAGTGCAGGGAGATTCTCTAGGCATGCAAACCTGAATGCCCTTATAAAGCAGAGTCTATCATCTACTCACATTCCGTCTGTTTTAGAACCACGACACCTCTACAGGACCGATCAGAAGCGACCAGACGGTTTGACGCTCGTTCCATGGGCTGATGGTAAGCAGCTCTTGTGGGATGTAACGGTAGTAGACTCCTTAGCTCCTTGTAGGATTAATGCCGGGTCTGTTTGTAACCCTGGTACGGCTGCCGCTGAAGCGGAAGAGCGAAAAATTGACAAATATAAAGATCTTGTAAATGATGGATATCTTTTTCAACCGCTAGCTTTTGAAATTCAGGGCGCGGCCGGCCCCAGCACAGAAGTTTTTTTGAGCAAGCTTTGTAAGAACCTAAGCATATGCACTGAGGAACCAAGAGCAGGCAGCTTTTTAAAACAGAGAATCTCCCTGGCAATACAGATTGCGAACGCCGCTTGCGTACTCGGAACAATAAATGACAAAATAACTTTCGACGAAATTTTTTACTTGTAACACTTGTATATTATATTATCTCGTGTCGAGTTGCGTGTTCTTATTGAAGAAGCGTAACCCGTATCGATTTTAAATGAAAAGGACTTAAACACTTGACATCTTCTTTTATCATTATCACTTCCATATCTAGAAAATTCCAAGGATTTTGACTGGAATACATGATGAAGGGACTCATGACTGTAACCTCGGTTACTATGATACTTTTGACCTTCTGATTACGCTCGTTCTTAATTCTTAAAACTTATGTTTTTTAGTATCCGTAACTTCAAATATTTTAATCGACCAATTTCTGAACAGTAACCGAATTTGTTTTGTTTTGTTTTGTTTATTGCTTGTTTTCTGATGTTGTGTTTTTGTTTGATGTAACCAATGAATTTTAACCAACTTTATTATTTACATTTTGCTATACTGATGCCTCGGCTTTTTACTGTATAGTAATTCAGGTGTTCTTTCTTCTTCTTCTTCTAATTGGCCTACCTCCATGCGTTTCATCTTGCAAGAGTTTGATATTGCCTCTTTGATCTCTTGTTTTTCAGTGTGTTTATGAAGGAAATGATCAATTTTGAAAGATGTATCGCACAGTTAGATTTTTCAATATATGCTTTTACTGCACTAGAAAACGCGTCTCACATATACTACCAAATTGTAAAGCAGGGGTGCCGCAAGCTAGACTGTTATCCTCATCCATAAATCGAATTACATTCAGGGGTACTGTGACTACTGGAAAATTTGGAACAACCGAAAGAGCGACCGTGTTTCAAAAAGATATAGACGCATTTTTGAATGCAAACCACTGCAGAACATTTTCGATCTCAGCTGTGCTACGCGAAGACTCAAAAGTTGACCAGCAGTTGGAAATTCTTAAGGATGAAAAAGTTAAAAAGACAGATGAAAAAGCGGAAAGCAGCCTTCCTGCTTCTCAATCAAGAATAAGTGTTGTGAAATCGGAGAAATTTGTTATACGAATATGGATAAAAATTAAAAAAGAATTAAAGCACTACTATAATGGCTTCAAATTGTTTTTCTTTGAAACAAAAATTTCGTTAAAACTGCTTCGAAAGATAACCAATGGTGATGCTCTTACAAGGAGAGAGAAAAAACAGTTGCTTCGTACTGTCTCTGACATTTTCCGACTTGTGCCTTTTTCAATTTTTGTTATCATTCCGTTTATGGAGTTTTTATTACCTTTTGCAATCAAATTATTTCCCGGAATGCTTCCCAGTACCTTTGAGGAGAAGAAAACGAAAGAAGTGCGGGCCAAGCAGCGTTTTAAACTCAAGTTGGAAATGGCGAAGTTTTTACAGGTTCGTAATAATAATTTCAGAAACTTTATCGGGTATCACTCAAGCAATTCACTTAACTGAAGATCATGATATTTTTCTTTTGGAAGTATTTGTACTGCAGATCGGCGTGTCAATTGTGGCATGTTCAGCAGGGCAGGTCAAAAAGTAAATTGCAATTGATCGAAATGTCAAAAATCAATTATCAATTAACTGGCACAGTTCAAAATTAAATAGCTATTAATTGTTCATCAAGCTCGAAGCATCACTCTTGGTTAACAACTTTTGATACGAGTTCATTGTCCCAGTATTTGTTGTTGATTCGCAGAAATAACTGCGTTTCCAGGTTTTGCGGCAGCAAATTTTACCAAAGATCAGAATAAGTCGGCAGTGAAAAAGGCGAATGTTGTGGTTGCGTTTGCGAAGAATGTGCGGGTATTTATTATTATTATTATTACACAAGCATTGCTAGTGTAGCCTAGCTTTTTTCCAACCTAAGTCGCAAATATTGTTGCGACAAGTTGTGTTCATGATGAAAGTGTTCATTTTGATCCAGCTATTAGTACAGCAATGCTAAGGATATTAACAGCAATGCTAAGGACTACAGCAATGCTAAGGAAATTAACAGCAATGCTAAGGACTATTTTATTACAAATAGCACTTCAGCTTCAAGGCATCATGGATCTGCAGCGTAGAGGTAGAGAAGGAGACCAGCAGCAAAATTAGAGTGTTCTAACCTGGGCAGGGTCGGATGTTTTTAATGAACTTTTTCGTATACTAGTTAAAATGCGTTGGCATGTTAATTGGTAAATTTCTTTTTTTTTCAAATTGACTGGTACTGCTAACGCGTCATAATTGGCTTGCTTCACTTGGCAACTATGTAGACTCATAATTGGCGTGCGTCCCCGAAGAAATTTTGTAGACTCAAAGTTTTACTCATTCAATTTTTCCCAGTAGCGTTATCGGTCATATTTTTGCTTGTGTATTCGAAGTGCAACTTCGCCTTTGTGTAATTATTGTTCCGACCATTGGAAATATTAACAGCAATGCTAGTTAAAAGAGGAACTTTGTATTTGGGTGTGTTTCAGTTTTTTTTGTTTTTTACGCAAAATGAGGCACAACAATTAATCATCGTAAAGATATATATCATTTTAAAGCCCTTTCAGTCATGATTCGAACATTAAAGAATTCCCAAAATTTTTTTCTAACGAGAAAAAAACTGATTTGAAATTTTTAATTTTTGTCTAATTTCGAGCGACTGAAGCCAGCGAGCAGGCTTATTTTAAGCCGTTAACAATAGCTTATTTATAATTAATTTTAATTTTACTCGAGTAAAATTATTTTTGGAAGATTTTTTATGCCATTTTTGGAATCAAAGCTTCAAAGTTTTTTGAAATTTCTTAAAAAGTTTTTAATGTTTTCCAGTCATTTCCATCAAAACTGTTGTCTTGTTTGCATATTTTAAAATGATTGTCAAATGTGCCTAAATTATTGATTTACGTCAGATCTTTTATCACACCACCTATAAAAAATTACACTAAGTTCAAAAAAATTATTTAAGTTTTCTGAAGACTATGGTCGGAACATTCTTTGGTACTTGCACAGTAACCGGCTATCCTTGTAATCATTATGACTTTATGGATATTCCACTGGGTTGTTAGCCTCGCTTTTTGAGTTCTAGGGTTTGTACGACAGTTTTCACAACGACAATTAAAAATCCACGTGCAAGGTATCTCTTCAATCCAGTTCTTTTCAAAGTAATTCCACTTGTCTTCGATCAGTTTCTTTTTCAGAAACTGTTTGTCGATAAAATTCATCACTCTTTAAACAACATTTTTGAGCCGGCTTGTACCAGAACTAAGTAACCTAACACCTATCTAACACCTTAACCTAACGTAGACTCATTTTGAGATAGCTAGTCTAATAATTTTAACATCCTATACTGTTAAGCTTGCCCGTCCCTTAGCAACAAGGTAATCCCCCTTCTGGTCTTTTGGACCCAGTCTCTGCACTTCATACTCAATGTTCGGAAGTAAAGCTCTTCGTCTTCTGCCTGTACCAACGATTTTCAATTCGAGGAGTTCTACGTCGTAATTTCCATTGCGGAGGCTATGAACATCTTTAAGTTTTTCAGGACTTTGAAGTAGAGCGGTGATAGTACGTTTGCTTTCATCATTGCCAGCTTGTATCTAACGTTTCCATATATCCATCTCATTGCTTTCTTCTGAAAAGATTCGATTAAATGGTATTCTGATCGCCGTAGTTCCAAGCGCTCAGATGCAAAAAACAGCGTTTGTGATAATACGGCTCTGTATAAATGTACGTTTGATTCAATCGATAGTAGCGGCGAAGTGCTTCGTCGCTGGAGAAAGAGGGCTTTCATAGCTTTGCCGATTTGATAGTTGACATGGTCGCTCCAAGTTAGGTTTTCGTTTATCACCAGACCAACATTCTTCATTGGCTGGTCTTTTTCAATCAGGTTATCGCCAAACATAAAATCCATTTCAATTGGTGATTTCTTCCGATGACCATTTTTGAACTCAGTTACTGAGGATTTCTTGTAGTTGAAAAGGAGGTGGTTCTGTGTGCTCCAACATAAATTGTTCAGATCGTCCTTCAACTTCATCAGTTTTTTTCTGTTTCCCTCGAAAATTGCCTTTAGGTCATCTGCTAAGAGCAGGGCAATCAATGAAACTATTCGGCAGGTCATTGATATAGATTAAAAACAAGGGGCCGAAGACAGATCCTTGAGGTACCCCTGATGCAATGAACAGTGAATCAGATTTTGCATCATTGATTTTAACTCGCTGAGTTCTCCCTCTTAGGTAATGGCGAACAAAAAGGAATAGCCCCTCCGATCAATTGAGCTTTAACAACTTTTCAAGGAGCTGATGATGCTTTGTTTCGTCAAAGGCTATCGAGAAGTCAAACAAAGCAATCGAGAAGTCAAACAAAGGCAATCTGAATTGTAGTTGAAGAACAACCGATCTTCTGGGTCGAAATCCGCATTGGTTTTCGCTAATATGGGATGCAAAAGCTTTCATGAGTGCCTGAAACGTAAATTGTTGAGCAGCGTCACCGGTCGGTTGTTAGATACTTTCTTCCTATCCTCATCTTTAAAAATGGGGGACACAATGCCAATTTTGCATTCCGATGGATATTTCCGTAACTGTTTTATGTTGCTGAAAAGATTTTCCACGATGTCAACAGAAGTTTTTTTAAGAAAAATTGGTAGTTTTGCGTCGTTTGCTCGGCTTTTTTACTTGGGTCTAGTTTCTTCAATTCCAACGCGATTTATGCCTCACTAATTTCAATCTCAAAACTTCCATTAGGTTTCTACGTGGTGTTTTAAAGAAGACGTAATCCTTATCAGTTACGACAGATGCAAAGTAGCCATTGAAGAGTTCCTTTTTGGAGGCCTTTTAAACACTTGTACATTTTCTGTTTGTTCCTCGAGACGAACAGAGATCTTTCTTATTCAGCACTATCATCATACTTCATAGTTCGCACACTTCTGTAAGGAGGGTCAGCTTACATGATGTTAGTCCTTTCTGTATCAAAAAGTCCTTTCTGTATCAATTTACTTTCTGTAATAAGCTGATTTAGATGACGTGACGTTTCGTTGGTAATCCACGGAGGTTGGCTATGTCGTTTTTGGTTCTCTTAGGGTTGTACCTGTCAATCATTTCAAAAATCCATTTGTACAGAAGACTTGTGTTGACATCAACATTGTAGCAATAGGTTTGAAAAGGTTCTAAATCATGTCCTCGCCATATCTGTGTAGCTGCCTTTGCTGTATTTATCGTATTATGACTTTCCTTTCTCTCTAATTCTCTGAGTTAGATAAAGATTCACTTCAATGTGGGCGATGATTAGAAAACTTTTCCAAGTGACAAGCAGAAACATTGTTGATGATTGAGTCTGACGTACCAAACGCCAGCTCTAAACTTGATGTTGCAGTTGTATTGAAGTCAACGGGTTTTTCAAATTATTATCCATGACTAAATTGATAATGTGGCTCTGATAGTCATTTGAAGATTGGTAAGTGTCGCAGTTTGTTTCGTCCATGATGAAGTCTCTAGTGAGGATAAGGTCCCAAATAAATATATGTTTCAGAAAACTTAATATTCTTTCAACGTGTTCCAGCAACAGTTAATATTTACTTTCCTTTGGCGGATTGTGGATTAGTGCTACATGACACGGCTTACATGTGTCGTCTCTGATTAATCTTAGTGGTGTTTCCACATTTATGGGTAAGCAGCTGGTATCCACTTCTGTATTTTTATATTTTTTGTGACCGCAATTAAAGCTCCGCCGTGTGTTGAAATTTTATTTCTGGGTGGGGGATCAGCTCTGAGATTTGTTCTGGGAGGAACAATTCGCTGTTTTCAACATCAGGTTTCAGCCAGTAGTATTATGTCCTATTTGTGTCGATGGATGAAATCGACTTGTCAGTTTCTCTTCTTTGGGTCCAACAGGCTGCAAACACTATATAGCAAGATTTTGTACACCGCCCCTAGTCAGCAGCATTAGTGAAGACTCTGTTTTCCGGCGTCGTTGTATCTTAAGCTGTGATGCACTGCCAATAACAGTGTATCGGTACTTTGTGTTTTCCTTTCCTTCCTTTTGTGCTGCTTCTTCTATCAAAGATCGAATTTTTCCTCTGCTTCTTTCGAGTACTCGTGAGAAACTTTCACCTTGCTGTGTTCTTTGATGCGGAAATCCTTCAGATTTCGCAGGAGTCGGAAGATAATGGCTTTCTCTTCCCGTCGTTTGAGTACGATTTTAATTGCTGGTGTTTTCTAGACAAATGACCTTCTCCACCTCTGGGAGAAAGTCAGCTGACAGCTTAATGCCTTGGGCGCAGAAGTTTTTAATTTTCGCATGGTCATAAAAGTACCAGATTGTTTTCGCGTCTTCAAGTCTTCTCGTTCACGGTCTTGTTGCGCAAGAGTTTCCTTCATTATCTTCTTCATGCTGTGAGCTGTTTGGCTTTGCGGTACTTTCTTCCAAGCATCGTTGATTTCAACTGCAGTTTGTTCTTCTTTCAGTGTCATTGTATTGATTTTCTCTTCAAAGCGTGTTTAAATTTTCTTAAGTTGAGCCTCTTTTTTTCCACTATCTTTTGCTGTACTGATCTGGTTGTTTCTTAGTTTTCTGTCACTCGCTTTTCAATAATCTTGAGTTTCTCGCCGACAAGGGGTTGGCTTGGACCTTCTTTGAGGGCTTTGTTTCCGATATCAACGCATATTTAATGAAGCCATATTAAACCAGGTGATTTCTGCATGTCGCGCAGAATGGTTGATGCAACTCCTTAGCAATCACCGGCGTGATACCAGTCACCGCACTTCAAATAGAAAATCGAACCATCTTCGCTTTCTTTTTCATTCTCTGCAGGTGAACTTAACTGATTGATTGGTTTCTCGATTTTTCAGACAAATTTAATTGCAGGGATTGAAATTTAAAGTTAGGGGAAGGAATCAAGCTAGTTCAATCCTCGCTTGGGCCCCTTCCAACCACTGAAAGTTGCGAAGGCACCTAATGCGAGGCTCTTACTAGAACTTAGTACACAACGTTTTAGGGTTAATTAGCCACTTTCAACAAATAAAGGTCACGAAGTCAATTAAGTTCCAAATCCAAATATCTGTATAATCATTTCTGTTTAAGCAAGTTCAATTACTATCTAGTATTTTCCAACCAATTAAAGTTACAAGGTCACAAGTTAATGGAAATTACTTTTAATTGTTTTCCTGTTGACATTTTTTGTCCCTGGCGCTCACTCTGTGACTTCTTATTCTCCTTCTTTGACTCCTCGTTCCTTGTTCTTCTACGGTAGTTGCAGCGTAGTTGTTGCTCTTGTGTTTCGAGATTGTAAGGTTAATAACGTCGTGCCAGATAACTATCTTGAATTTCTTGGCTAGCACTTCCCTTCCTATGAGAAAGTTCTGTAGAATCTTCAGTGGGTTCTTGCCGGTCCGAATGAAGCTAAGTCCACCGATGCTGTAGGTTTTTCCGACCAGTTGTCGTTTACTTTTACTTCGATAGGGTATGCACTTCAGAGTTTTGTTCAGAGATCTAGCTCCAATAATAAACATAAATGCCGGCCTCTAAAACCCTTCACGCAAGCGTTTGGGTTTGTAATGACAATTGATTTTTGACCTGCCCTGATGCTTAATAAATTGTTTGTTGAAGGGCTTCATTCAATTAGGTGAATGATACGTTGATACAGTTGATTCCCCACTTTTTGAGATAAAACTTGGTCAAAATTTAAACAACCAGAAACAATTAAACCTATAAGGTAGTCTGTTGCTCATCAATTTCGTTGAGCGATGAAAGTAGTTCAGACTCTTATATAGGTCGCGATGATTTTTTTCCAGGAAAAGTCTTAAAATTTGTTCAGGCACAAAATTACTTTTTCGCGGTTTGACTTTTGATTTCTTCTGAAGTTCAGTCAATTTCTTTTGTCAAAAGGAAGGCGGACTCCACTATCGAACAGAGAAAGTGTAAAGGTCTCGAAACACTTGATCTACTTCGAGTTTCGAAAATGATATTTAATTATCGAATTTCCCAGAGAATCAAAGTTTTACCTATCGATCCATTTTTCCTAAATTGGGTTTAATTTATCAAAAATAAGTTTTTCTAGAATTTCAAAGAGCTTTGAGGTCATCTATCTTCTTCTTTGAATTTCGAAAATTGAGATTTTTTCGAAAATAATAAGTCCGTATTTTTTTTTCTGTTTATTTGCGTCATTGACGGTTTTCCAACTGTCTCTTGGCTATTTTAAACCTTTGCGATAGACAACAATGTTGCAACCGGGCATGATTTCTGTGCAAATAGCTTTGAAGATTTAATTCATTGATGTTTGGTTTCAATTGACATTAAAACTTTCTGTAAATTAGGGAAAAAAGTTTTTGATATTTTCTTCTAAAAAAAAGTTAACCATTGTTGGTAAATCTGTATTTGTTATGCCTTTTTAGAGCTCTTTTTTTGTCGTTATCTTGTCCTCTGTGTTTCATTTCTTGTTTTTTAAAAAGCGGTTAGTTAGTTTCTATCGAGTCGTATGTACTTTGTTTCCTATTGACTTTGTAATATGCGCGAGAAGTTGAAGATCGGAAACAACAACAGATTTTCTCAAAATAAAATAACTAACAATTGAAGAAGAACAATAAATGTCAAAAGTTTTAAAAGTGTGTTTCGAAGTTTTTCGATTTTTTTTTTTGAAAATTGTGAACTCATTTCAGTATTTGCTCTGCGAATTTTGGTGCTTTTTTATTTGACTGGGATGCGTATTGTGTTCGAGTGTTAGTTTATTTTGCCACGCAAAGTTACATACCACAATCAAATGTCCGTTAGAGTTGAGTGATATACTATCTGAAAGCCTGTAAAGTCGTAATTCTAATTTTGATAGTTTAAATTCATTTTCAATCGTGTTTTAGCTTATAAACAGCATCTAAATGCAATCCTCTACTTAGATAAAATTTCGTTGACTAACTTAATTTTCGCGTTCATTCGAAATGCATATTTTTAACTAATGAGCTTACTGTGCTACTTGAGCTGTGTATCTTCATATAGGCTGTAATTCGAAAATCTACTAAAGCCAGAAAACTAACCAACACCGACCCCCCAAAAAAGTGCCAAAATTGCCCGATTGGCTAATTTTTTCGGCTTAGTGAGTGTGGATGTCCTAGACGAGTTTGCTGCTGCTAACCTGTGTATGAATGAAAACTTATCCTTGCGAGAGTGCTTCGAGAAATCACTGTTGCAACAGTGGAAGTATTTGGGATCTTTATGTGAGTTTGTGTTGCTAGTTTGCCCACATAACATGAACACAGAATCAGGGTTCTCGCGCATGAAGTTCGCTGAGAGTCAACACCAGAAATGTTTTTCGCCAGAAACATACAACAGTGTGCGTATCATTCAGGAAGTCTTTATCCGCGACGATTTCGAAAAGGCGTTCAATTTTCCAGCTGAGTTATGTGACACAGTTCGCCAAGCAGCTTCTGAATATAAGAAATCCACGGAGTCGAAAGTAGAAGAAAATTCACAAAAAAGAGGGCATGCTGAAGATTTGCAAGAGAAACTGCATGTTTTCAAGCGAATGACTCCTTTAGCTCTCAAGAACCAGCTGAACGAAGTTGATTCTAGCATTGACGAGGCTAAAAAAGCTCTTGAAAAGAAGAAGGAACTGCTCCATAACCAACGAACTGTTTCTGTGGTCACATTGGATCAACAGTCTGCAGTTGTCAGTGACTCAATATTTGTCAAGAAATAAATGGTTTAATTGATCATGTTTTTCTGAAAGTTAGAAAATGCTCTTTTAGGTTCATATAAAGTTCGTTTTTCAAGGTTTGGTCCCAGGTTCATATTTCGTTTTATAAAAGTTGGCAGGCCTGTACCAAACCCTGAAAACTATTATAATGCTGTATGATTGCCATTAAGCGAGTGGGAGCTTGCTCGCCTCCAGCTGAGCATTACAGAAACAATTAAAATTGGTAGACAAAATATAATTTGAAAGTATATATATTTTTTATTTAGTATTCTTCATTAATATCATAATTTATCAGTGATAATAATGGGCCCGCTTAGCGTGTGGCCTGATCTAGTCTATGGTCATCATTTGGGTTTATCCGTCTTTTCCATGAGGATTTTGATTCAGTTACTCTTCTCGAATGTTGTTTGTGTTGACAGGACACAGTTGAGCAGATGGCGGTAAGAAGAAGCTCATCTACATCTGAGACAGCACAGAAGTTTGCGGACTTCATGGGCAAGGTACGTCAGGGAGATCTGGAGCTGAGCAACGAGGAAATCCTTAAGTTCTCCAAGGCCTTTCGAGACTCCTTGATGTTGGACAACTTGGAAAAGCAGCAGTTGATGGCCATCTGTAAGATCCTCAACATTCGTCCGATTGGAAACACGAATTTGCTCAGATTCCAAATCAAGCTCAAGATGCGCAACATCAAAGCGGATGACTTGATGATCAAGCAAGAAGGAGCAATTTCCTCACTGGAGGTGTCCGATCTCCAGAGTCTTGTGCGCGAAAGAGGTAAAGGCAGCAATGAATGCCGGTGTGTAGTTTTAGTGTATACAATTGTTCTTGTCAGTCTCACTTCTGTAAGATTAAAAATTGGTTATTTTTATTTTCTTGTGAATATTGATTCATTAGAACATTGGTTTTTTGCTTCAAAATAGTAATTTTAATGCTTCTGTTATTTTAAGTTTACCACCTATTATTTTAAAGACTTTTTTTGCTTTAAATATTCTTCGGCTTTAATGGTTTGGGCCTATCATATCTCGGTTTATTTGCCGCAAAACTGTTCGTTCGAATAGCAAAAATGATTCAGGGGGAAAATTTTGGCAATTGCTATGTTTGAATATGAAAAGTAGAAGTAGGAAATAATTGAAACCAGTTTTTTATACTTTGAGAGACAGCCGACAAAATTTGAGAAATCTTTCTTTAATTCGAATTACCCTGAAAATGCTTTAATATGACACACCGCTCGTCGCCATCTGAATTTGTTTGTGGTTGCTGATTTTGCTTAAAAACACTCTAGGCTTATGTGTCTTCTCATTCCTTGGGGTTTCGGAACGATAACTCAGGAGCACATTCCTAATTAAGACTGCGTGTTCTCTGAGTATCAAGAGATGTGGTAAATGATGTCAGACAACCTTATTTAGCGCAAAACTTGACCCGGAACGTGAATGGCTGAAGTTAAATTAGTTGGATGGAATGAGATGTTTTGTTGTGATTTTTACAGGTATGCGAGCATACGGTGTGTCGAAGCAGAGGCTGGTGACGCAGCTGGAGGAGTGGCTGGATCTGCATCTGAATGACAAGGTGCCCCTCTCGCTACTCCTGCTATCCAGGACCCTCTACATGCCACCCTCTGAAGGAGGACTGGAGCCGACAGCGACTGAGACCCTGAAGGCGACCATTTCGTCTCTGCCGAGTGAGACTAGTGACACTGCGAAACAGAGACTGGCTGAGCTGGAGAGTGGCGAGGTGGACAATGCGGCCAGACTGGAGAATGTGAGGAGGGAACAGGAGGCGATCAAGCAGGAGGCACTGGAGAGAGAACAGTCTCTACTCCAGGCTCAACAGACGGCTGTGAGTGATGCTTGGCTAGATTAAGTTTAGCTTCCATGAAAAAGTTCCAACGGCAATGAAAACAAAATGGGGGGATGGGGTTTGACTGTTATTCGATAACCCTCTTGCCATTATTTCTAAAAGCTTGCCAAAGAAAAAATTGGTTGCTCCATTACTAGAGCGATGTTAAGAAAACCCAAAGCAACGAATGACTAAATTTAGGGTTTTCAATTAATTCGAAAAGATTTCCCAAGAAGAAATGATTGTACCCTTACTAGAGCGATTTTAGGAAAGCCCAAAGCAGCGAATGACCAAACTTCCTTCGTAAAGTTGATGATTGTACGCCTCCAAATATTGGATTTTTTTTTGAAAAAAAATCTCACCAAATAGCACGAGAAATTTATTTAGTATATGGTAACTGGTTACACGAATTGAGTTTATTTTGAAGGGCTCTAAAGTTTAGTTAGTCGAGGATTTATATTGAAGGATCTTCATAGGCTAAATATAACGCGATTATATTTTAGCATCTTAAAAGGGTTTGAGTACTTTGTCTTTACAATTAATTGTTATCAAATCTTTCTCTACATTGTCATCCGACCGGATAGTGGCAAATCTCTGAATGATGTTTATATGTCATATTTATATATCCGTGTCTAACGACCTTGAATTTGTGTAAGATATCTGTTGTTCATGGTTGAGAGTCAAGACTCAGATTGTTAGAATTCATGATATCATTCAGTTGTTTCTTCATGAGTGAAAGTTCATCGGTGTTTACCAATCCCTTCGCATTCAGGAATAGCAAGTATCATACATTACAGTATGATATACATCTTCCGTGTTGGAAGTCTTGCTATTATATGGAACTGAACTCATGCTGTCTGGTTGAATTCATAAGCGTAGCCATATGCGGCTTCTTTTTAAAAACCATTTGTATGTTTCATCGTAGAAAGTTTTTGTTATAGGTTTTTAAATGTCAATAAACGTTTCATATAGGTCGTGTTGATATATTTCTAGTGTTTTAAGCAGTTGAATTGGTTGACTTTTATGCTTAGATTCTATATGTCATAAATAAATTTTGAGAGTCGATGAACGTCGTTTTTTTTCAGGAAAAAGTTTTGAAAAATTATTCACGCTCAAATTGTTTTTTTTTCGCGTTTTAATTTAGTCGATTTTTTTCCGTTTCCTTGCGTTCATTGGCTCTTTCCGACTGTCTGTTGGCTATGTTTTGAGATTTTTGTTCATTGACTCTTTTCCAACTCTGTTGGCTATGTTTTTTCTGGAGACTGTATATAATTAATTGGTTTAATGAAAGTGCATAAATGAACGAGAAAACTATCTTTTTCTAGATGAAAGCGGAAGAGGAAGAAAAGGAGCGAATTTTGGATACTGCGCTGCACGATTTCCCGCCTGGCTACGTCTTGGCAGAGACCAGGAGTGAGACTGTTCCAGAGGTGACAGTGGACATGATGAAGGTGGTGGAGGAGGCTCTCACGGATCTGGCTGAGACCAAGAGCAAAGTTTCCGAAGAAAGGGACGACTTGAACGAACTGGTCCAGGAGATCCAGGACTACAATGCATCTCTGCAGGAGGCATTGGAGACTAGTGAGTCCAAAGTGAAAGTCACCAGGGGGTCCAGACTCCTATCCCGATATTTGCAGTACTCTTTGAAGAAGTTGCAGCCGACGGTTGAGAAGATAGAAGAGAAGAGGCAGCATGTCAAGGAAGAAATCCAGCAGTTATCCGAGGTTAGTTTACTTACGCTTACTCACTCCTTTTCCCGCTAACTAATTTTTTGTGTAAAATTAAAACTCATTTTTGACAACACTCCAAAATGAAGTTTTGTGTGTTATCACCGAAGTTTGTTAAAAACAAGTAGTGATTACTTTTATGTGCTACTGGTAATCTTTAAATGAGTGGTAGAAGGGGGGGTGGCAAGATTAATTTTGAATTGCAATTCTGTGACAATGGTTTTTGTTTAGGAGAAGAAGGAAGCGCTTGACGAGCGAACAGCAAGTGTCATTGAAGGCAAGATCCAGAGTCACGAAGGCACAGTGGCGACAATTGATGAAGTGCGCGCAGCCATGAAGGCTCTCACTGAAGTATCGGACGAGGAACTGCTCTCGGAAGTAGCCAAGATCATAGACCCCGACCAGGACGGAATCGTAGAGATAGACACTGTGATCAAAGCTATAGAGTTCATGTCCACATACTCAGAGGCTACGGCGGATAGTAAAAACTCGCCCGAAGCACTAACTGAGCTGATCAGGGTTTTGACTAAAGAGCTGCAACTGAAACAGAAACTGGCTTCAGTCGCCGCCGCCTCGGCCCAGTCTAGTCCACCCCAACAAATTGAACAAAGGAACTGAGCGAACTTAGAAATTATTTTTAAAAGCAAAGACAGTACATTGTAAAAAGATTTTGAATGTTGATAAATTTCAATCAAGAGATAACTTGTAAATTATAACTTGAACTATTATTGTGCTATTTAATCGTTTTAGTTTTCCAGGCCAGGAAAGGGATTATTCTTTTTACTAAAACAAGAACATAAAATATCAAAATAGCATAGTTCGTTGTAGTAATTTCTGGTGTTGCAAGACGAAAGCAAAATCAGAAAACAAGCAAAAAAAATTAGTTCCATATCCCCACTACAAGATAAATTCGTTATTTTTTGCTACGACATCAAAAAAGTGGCAATAAGTTTTAGTCAATATTAACGATTAATTCAAAAATTGTTGAAAAAATCTTGCCAAGTATTTGAAGAAAAATTTGAATATAATCGCCATAAAATAGTAGGAAAAAGTATCTCAAACTTATCACAAACTCAAAGATTAAACTTATTTGGACGTATTTTTTTCTGGCGGAAGTCAAATTGAAATAAAATATTGCCCTTTTTTGCAAGGAATTTTCAGAAGCTTTCAAAATTTGTCGACCTTTTTTTTTAGCTCGATTAATTTATTTTTCCGTGGGCTCACAAATTAGAAACCCCTGCCAGCAAACGTTGGAGTCAATTGCTGGCTGCGAAATTTAATGTGCAGCCAATTTGTAATTTGATGAAGTTCAGACTTAGCAGTCGTTAACAACCGTTGCAGTCATTATCCAAAGTTAATACGCTAGAGCGTTCGAGTTAGCGATCGAAATGGTTTTTTTAATTAACTGATCATTTTTGTTATAGAGGAACGATTTCTGTTTCAAGCAAGTAAGTGTTTCGGGATGCTCTTTCATTACTTTTTGCCTGACTATTCAACAACGCATCTTTGCCTTATTTTGTAAAAAAAAAACTTCACTAAAATATGTGATGTGATGCTCTACCGATGTGTTTCCGCCAAAAGACATGAGGCAAAAAACGTGACAGCAGATCTCATGATGAAACGCTAATTTTTTTTGTCATTTTTAATTACGAGGCCAAACTGCATTTGGTGAATTGTTAGCGGACTCCGCATCAGGCCAAAAACAGAATTGATGCAGAATCCGCTACATTGTTATTTTCTTTGATCTTCTTTGCTGATTTGGATGCCACCGACAAATAGCTAAAACACTGTATTTCTCAATATCGCTCCCAAAACAGGCAAAGTTCGGGAATCCGCAACAAAATTAGTGGATTCTGCAACAAAATTTGCGGAATCCGGACCAATTTGTGGAATCCAGAAACAAGAAATAATTCATGTGTTTAGTAAAGGTTTAAAATTGTGCGACTATCCAGTGCACAGTTTGGCCTCGTTATGTTAGAAGACTTGATTGGCGGTGTCATACCTCTGTGTATGAGTATCTGATTTATTGAATCCGAATGGATTGATGAACAAAGAGTTCTAACCGAAGAGATATAAAACAACGAGTTGAAAGACAACATTTTTTGACAACTGAGCTGCAGCTCAAGAACAGCTCATGTCTGGAGTCTATCGATGTCAATCGACCAAAAAACAAAGTAACTAGTACGGTAAGATTAACATAAAGATGATTAACTTATAAGTACTGAGTTTATCAATCCAAGGCCGGATGACAGGCGGTATCTTATGATTCAGGAAACCGGAAAGAGAATGGGAAGTTTGCTTAGGTATTACAAAAAATGGCTTGCATAAAATCACACCTAGATTTTTTTTTCGGCTTGAACAAGAGTTTCATAAGAACAGAGATTACCAACAAAGCATCTAAAAAGTTGATAGATTTTCCACCCTAGTTGTGCTGTCTGGCACTGAAACAAAAGGAACGCTAACTGCTACGTTCTACAAGTGGCTCTCGACTACTCCTGCGTTCTTATTTGTTCAGTTTTACGTTCGGGTTTTTTTTCTTCTCGTTATTGTATTGCCCTCCATGTTCTTTTCCGGTTCTTCGTCTTCGTGTTTTTCTTCGTCCTTCTTTTCCTTTGTAGCTTCTCCCGTTAAATCCTATTCTTTCACGAATAAATTTCTTTATCGATCATTTCATTCGTGCTTTCCGTTGGCGAGGTCAAACCAACAAATTCGGCCTGTTTGTGTTTGTTTTTAGGGCTAATGGCTGCGAGAAATTTAACGCACGCCCGGTACTCCGGAGTCTTTTCTGTGAAACCCATTTCTTGTGAGTCGGACACCCGGCTGTTCGCTTCCCCGTCGGTTTTGCCTTCTTTTTCGCTGGTCTGTTCTGGTTGCCCTGGTGTCCTGCCGCTTTTTTCTGCTTGATCAGTTTCTTTAGTATTCCCGTCCTTTCTCCTCTTTGAACATCGGGTGCTGTGATGCCTTAGGATTCTCAATATCTGAAAAACGTAGACAAGGTCCTGATCCTCTTGCGGATATGTACGCAACATAATCACTTAGCCTAGAAGAGCTGCATGGTCCGTATTTTACAGGATTGAAAACAAATGCGACTCCGCTGTTTCTTTTTAATCTTGGTTGTTTTCCAAATGTTTGAACCCATGCGGTGTGTGGCGTGTATGTTGGATTTTCCCGTCTATAGTTTTGTACTTTTGCTCCAACAATTTGCGATCATTTACGTTGGTTGCTAATCGAATAGTTTTTGCGCCACCTGGTCGATACATTTTTCCGTATTTTTGTCTACTGTCGCCTGTACCCCTTTGTCTTACCTTTAACTTATTCTTGATTATTTCTATGGTTTTCTTAGATTTAGCACCTGTGACTTGCTGTGTAGTTGAAGATGCTTTCTCAAGGTTCTTTTGTAGTGTTGGTGACTTGGCTTTTGGCTCGCGGCTTTTGATGGAAACTTTATCTTCTGACCATCGTTGAAGATCATGCATTATTTCCTTTGGTAGTGGCGTTTTCGTAAGATTCTTTTCATCTAAACATGCATGTTTTGCACTCTCCAAATTTTGTACTGTTTGGTGAACTATTAGTGACTACGTTTGAAAGAGGACTGTTTGGCTTTCTACCCATATGTGCTTCAAAAGGCGAAGTTTTTGTGACGCCCTGTGGTGTGATCCCTAAAGTTTTTATAATTTCTGCCACATCGGAGGCGAGATTGTACGGTGTGTTTGTTTGGTCTTTTTTCATTACGGCTAGCCAACGTTTCAATGTTTGAATCATTCTTTCTACCATCCCTATTGCCCTATGATCGTCTGCCGGAGCGAAAAGTAGTTTTATGTTGTTTATACTTCAAAATAGCTGAAATTTCTAAATGTTTGCGCCTGATCGCACTTTAGTCTTCGTGGTACCCCATTGTTGGAGACATATCTTTGCATAAATTCAATGGCAACGTCCTCTGTTGTGTTCGACACAACATTCGCAGTGGAAAATGTTACCATATATCTATCGCGACAAAAATGTACGCGTCTTTGTTTATTTCGTCAGAGAGGGGCCCCGCAAAGTCTAAAAAAACTTCCTCGTTAGGTTCTACAACCGGTTCCATCCTGAACGAATGTTTTTTCCCTATTATTGGTTTGAGATTTTTACCTTGCTACGTGCAGTATTTGCAATTCTGAGCCATCTGAACGATTCATCGATGAATGTGCGGCAACCAGACATTTTGGCACAGATCCAACATGCCTGCCGATCCTGGATGGGTCAGGTTGAGGCTATCGAGTACTGTTTGTCGTAATTGAGTGGGTATCACGATCCTTTTGTCAATTAGTAGACAATCCTCTCGGACGTGAAGTCGATTCCAGATGTTACGCCAGTATTGTCCGAATGAGGTTTTGATGGCTTCCCAGTCTCTTTTCTTGCCAAAGTTTATTAGAGGAGGTAGGTTTCTCTCCTTCTTTGTGGCAGCGGCAAAAAAATCGTACGCCCAGTACTCGTTGCAGCTTCCGCCGAAATAACGGTGCGTCTTCCTCCGATTCTGGTGTTTTCGTTCCTTTCTCGATTGTCGCGACCAGTCCTTCCGTGACAAGATTATGGCTGGCCTCGAGTTGTGTGTTGTTGTGTGTCATCGTTTTTGGTTCCACATTGTGTGCCTTTTCCTCTTGAATGCATGTGTTGGGGTCCACGCAGTTTTCTCTTGTATCTTCGTTGTTGTTTGTGGCGAAGTCTGTTTGAGTGGCAATTGCTGAATTGATCGTTTCCGTTTGGGCGGCGCGTGTCGTTTTCATTTTTATTTCTGGTTTACTGATCACTGTTGTTTTTGCTGATGTTGAGTCGTCTTCAAACACAGTTTTCGGAAAATTTGTTTCCTGTTTTTTTATGAAGAAAATAGTACCTTCGCATCTTGAACTACTTGTACCGTAAGAGATGAGTGGTCCGGCGTTGTTGTTTGTTCAGTTGTTGTTTTATTTCCTTTTATTGGGGGCCGATTATGCCACCTCGGGTCCGATAGACTTTCCTCCCGGTCAGACGAGCCTTGCCACTGCGATGCCGACTCTTTTCGGCCCTGTGTCTCCGTTGATTTCATTTCAGGTAAAATAAAGCCTCCCTTGAAGCCTTCAGTTTCTGGTTTTTGGCTCATATTATTTTGGCAAATCGAGTTTACAGAGATTTTGCAGTTTGGCTGTTTTTCGAATCTGTTGAATGAATGCGGATGAGCTGACTGATTTTTAGCTCATTTTGAATGAAACTGAATTTGTTTGTGAGGTTTCAATTGGAATGTTGAGATGTTAATTGAGCGTTTGAAATGTCATTCAATGAACTTTTGTTTTTCGCGCGCTTTTTGATCAGCTCACAAGGCGCTTTGTTTTGACTGGCTAGATTGTTAAGAATGACATTGTCAACCAACTCGAGGTTGTTTATGAATGCATTAATTGATGCTACAACAAATTCCTCATCAAACTCGCTCGGGGGTATTGCCATTCCAACTGGATTTTGAGAAAAATAGTCTATTAATCCGATTTTATTCCCCGCCAGATGTTTAATGTCAAAGTGAAATGGGAAGTTGTTCAATCCAGCAAGTTAGCCTAATCTGAATGGTTTTTGATCTCTCACTCGAGCTTAAAGCGCCGATCAAAGCTTGATGGTCTGTTATGACGGTAAAATGCTTTCCATAAAGATTGAACTAAAACTACGGACTATTCTTCCTCAAGCGAATTTAGGAAACGTGACGCATAGGCTATGGCTACACATC